AAGGTGGAGGAAAATCAGGACTATAAGGCACACGTGCACATGCGGCCTCCATAACAGCTGACGGGGTTTGAAAGTGCGGTCCGTAAAGCCCATTCTCGACCGTCTTCAACTTACTGGCAGGAAGGTATGTGGTTCGAACCCAACCCCGGTATCTCGTCTGCTCCTGTCTAGTTTTGGGCAACCTGGCAGTATCTCAGCCGTCGTGCTTCCTTCTGGTTGGCTGTCAGCTATGCACTGAAACGGTTCTACAACTATACGATTTGCAGTCGGAATCTTGTTTGATATTTCTGGGTTCTGTCTTACACGCTGTCATAATTCAACGTGAATTAAGCGGCCTAAATAGTTTGGTTACAACGGAGGTTCAATCCTATTTCTTTGATTGCGGCAGTCATAGCGACACGTCTTGAGAACGGGAGCCACTTTATACTTACCTCGATGGACTGCATGGCCTCCAGTCCATGCAGGCTCCATACAGTTGCAAATAAATGGAGCAAGCATTGACTGAGTATTTCGCTTTCATTTCTTCAGAGATCTAGTGGAATCAACGGCCCGGTGTCACCCTCCAGGATGTGATCACGAGTGTGCCTTGTCCCTGCAAGTAAAGGGAATTCTTAAAGACCGTAATTTTGTGGACTTGAAATTGAGTTGACATACCTCCATCATACAACCAGGGAGTGGCTAATGTTAGTTGATGGAAACAGTATAAATTGTGGAGAGTCCAACGCCAGAAACTGCGTTGGTTAAGCCATGTATCGCGTATGCGGGAATCAAAGGCTTCTGAAGAGTGATTTTTTTCGTGCCCAATTCAGAGTGGCGGAAGTAGGGTGGTGGGTAACTCCTGAGCTAGCAGAGGGGTATGAACAGGAGTACGAAATATTTGGGTATTGTCGGTGCTACTTGCCTTTCAGAATGGGAACCGCGTGATTTTTCACTGCTGCTGGTTGGAGACGTTGCAAGATATAGCCGCTAATCGATGTCAATGGCTTTCTTGTTGTCAGTTTCTATCCAGACTGCCTGTTTGGAGGTGTAGGTACCTTAGAGCGATTGTAGTAAGTTAGCACTAAGTCCCTTCCCTATCCAACTCCATTCTTTTCTTCACAATAAGGCTTTTAAATAAATCGTGCTTGCATGGCCGCGAAGCATCGGTGTGGAATACTGTCACGCTGTCGATGATGATGGTGATGACGATGAGGGGACTTGGTGCTATCGTATATCAATCATTCTAAGGTTTCCTCACATGATTTCGTAAGACAACGTAACACAATTGACACTGTCTGGTTTCAACGGCAGTCAAGCCTCACAAAATCGTTTTGAGCGATGGGCTGAGTATTTCAAAGAACGATGGGGCGAGATGTCTCAGCGGTTAGAGCGCGAATTTGCATCGAACCGGATCTCTGCCTCCCGAATTCCCTTGTCTAGGCTTGGGTAATCTGGCAGTATCCCAGCTCTCGTGCTTACTTCTGGTGGCATGGCAGCGAGGCTCCGACAGGATGCTACCCTGGTGAACAATCTGACATCCACATTGGATATGATTTAGAATGAAGTCAGCAAAATAGCGACCTAGTTTTTTTCGACCGTCATCCTAGTTTTCAAAAAGGGTGCAGTGACGCTATGCGAAAACCGTCGAGGCATCAGCATAGTTTCTATCGCATCTATGGTGTTCTCTGGCATCATTTCGCGTGGGCCGATTGATTGTCGACCGTCAGAAACTTTGATCTTGCCTGGCGATCAAAGGTGTCCCCTCCAAATTTACATCCCCTATGAGGGCACTGTATTCGAACTCTGTTACGGTTATGTCACGCAGCGAGCAAACAATATGATAATGCGGATTGTGGCAATACTCTATCCCCAGCTATGTTGCTTGATCCAGACTCCTAGCACGGCGAATAGTAAGAAGACGAAAACCTCGGACACAAACTTTAATAATCCAACAACACACGATCAACAGGCGATGCCCGGAGCTTCCGAACCCAAGTCAGTGGAAAGAATGGTATCCTGTACGTGGTCGGATTTGAATTTCCTTGGAGTATCAACAGGCCATTGATTTTTCATAGTTTGACCTTGAAGATGCCGGGAGTTCGCTAGCACACATAAAAACATAGCGTTTTCTGGGGGATATTGATATCCCCAACAGAAAGTTCCAGACGGGCCAAAAAGTGATGCAAAAATCGAACTCATCTGTCAACGGCAAGTGAGGAACAACCAATTAAATCTGTCTCAACTAAAAAGGTTATTCCATGGGCAGTTGTGTAGTCCGCTTACGTCTGGAACTTGTTCTCCTATCAGGAGAGTGAGTGATGCTACGTCCTGTCTAAGTTCGAGTTGATGACTTTGCTGATCAGCCGCTTGTGGCCGAATAATTAAGTTTTCAAATTACTTGCAGGAAGTTCGTGGGTTCGGAACTTGGTTGGTCCCATGGGATGCACACTACTGATGGTCTCCAGTGAGGGTGAAATAAGGGCACGTATTTCCTCAGCTTCCCACATATATTAGCTCTACTAGCAGGCAGAATTCGCCATTAATATATATATATATATATACATATATATGTAGTGTCA